AACCATCTGAGCCACCCAGGCGCCCCAACCCCTTAACTTTTATTTAAGCTTTTCTGTATGGCAGTTTCTTATGTCTAGATATGATGGGTCTTACAGGTAGGTCCATTAAAATCTACTTTCTAAAGAAATTGAATAGTAAAGTGGGTATTATCAGTAGTACCCAGCATTAAAATTATATATGATAATTTTTTATCACTAGGATCAATTTTTAAGATGTAAACTTGGTAAAAATAGACTTTGAAAGTATAGCAGAGAAATAATTTCAAATGCTGATCATAGCATATACAGTTTCAAATGTATCAGTTAATTCTTTGTAGAAGAGTATAAAAGAAATTATTCCATTTTGGGCCAAGTGTATGAATTATTTACAAAGATACACAGTAGTCAGGGTGATCTTTTAAAATGTGATCAATCAAATCTTAACACTCCCTTGCTCAAAACCTTCATATAGCTTTCCATTACAGTTTGGACAGAGTAAAATCCAAAGTCCTTATCCAGTCACCACAGTCAGGCTCTCTCTCTCTCTGACCTGTCTCCTACAATCTTCCCCCTTGATCATGCCATCCCTCCAACAGGCCACACTTGTTCTTGCCTCAGAGGCTTAATTATGTTGGTTGTCCTTTTCCTGAAACACGCTCAGTATCTCGCTCCCTCATTTTACTTGAGTCATGCCTCGAATGTCATTTTCTCAGAGAACCCTTTAGCACTGCTCTGCTCTATCATAATTCCCTATCCCTAACCTGGTTCAATTTTTCTCCACAGAATTTATCATTACTTAGCTTACTTACATTATATTTATTTGTGTACTTATTTATTTTGTCTCATGTGAAAATTGCACAAAGGCAGGAACTAACTTTTTCTTATTTACCCCTGCAATCCTAACATCCTGGCATATAACTACTATAATAGTCGTTAATATTTGCTGAGTGCTTACTATGTGCCAGGCCTCATTTTCAGCTTTATTATTTCTTTTAATTTGCACAACAATCCTCACAATGGTTTAGTTTGCCTAAGAATTAATAGATAGTAAGTGGCAGAGCTAGGATTTGAACCCCCCAATTTGATTTTACAGGCTGAGCACATCATTGATACATTATTCTCATGCAAACACTATTGTTAAGGATAAAACAATACTTAAGAATTATCTCAAGAAAATATGTGGGGTAATGAATTAGCTCTTAGGGCAGATAAAGTATCACCAATGGTTTCCTAAAGCTACATTTTAATAAGCTCTTAATGTTCTCTGCCATATTTAAATATGTTAGCCCAAAAATAAAGGTTCGAAATGTTCTTAAATGTTCACATTTAAGGAAATCAACACTCAAAATTTATATTCTAAGCACAAAGTGTAAGTACATTAAGGCATCAAATGCATTTTCGAGTCTGACCCATTCAGTCAGAAAGAACAGAGGCCCTCTAACAGTGGAAGATTACACCTGTGCAAACTGTTACAGCAGGGTCTGCTGCTATGCATCAGTGCATGTAATAAAGTCAACACTCCCTCTAATAGGTTCGTAAGTTACAAAATGAATCTCTCTGAAATCTTCAACTTCCTAACTTTCTGAATTTTAAATGAACCTCAATTTGCTAAAAGCAACTTAAGACAGTACAATGAATAAGCCCCACACATGTGTGCAAGACGGTTTTTCCTTTAAATCTGTAATAGAACTGAAAGCTACTAAAGCCTAAAGTAAAATCATACCTGCTGAATTGGACTTTGTGCCTGAAACAGTATTCTTCGTCCTAGTAGTTCTGCAAAGATACATCCGACAGACCAGATGTCAATAGCATTGCTGTAATGACGACTGCCCATCAGGATTTCCGGAGCCCGATAATACTGAGTGACAACTTCCTGAGTCATATGACGGGATTCATCTAATTCCTCCACTCTGGCCAATCCAAAATCACAAATCTAAATAGAAAAGATTATCAAAATATTGTTAAAGAGACAAATATATTTACAAATGGTAAAGTAAAACAAAATAAGCAAAAAATCAAAATCTCGATAGATCTCTGAACTTTGAAAAGTTTCGAATGATATAGGTAGAGTGTATTTGTGTCAATATATAATTTGATCTTATTTGCATAAGAGGAAAAAAAAGTCTCAAAATTCCTTATTTCTATATAAAATGATGAATCTTAAAAATATTCTTCTCGGGCGCCGGGGTGGCTCAATTGGTTAAGCATCTGCCTTTGGCTCAGGTTATGATCCCGGGGTCCTGGGATCGAGTCCCGCATCCGGCTCCTTGCTCAGCAGGGAGCCTGCTTCTCCCTCTGCCTGCCACTCTCCCTGCTTGTGCGCGCGCTCTCTCTCTCTTTGCCAAATAAATTAAAAAAAAATAAAAATCTTAAAAAAAAATTCTTCTCACTCATCTTTTCAACTGATAACTAAACCAAAAAGACAGCTCAATGCATATTTCTAGGTTTAATGTACAAACCAGACTATGTATTTTCAAGGCTTATCAAGGAATTATACGAAAAAAAAGTGCCTATCTTGAAGACCTCCTGAGCTATGTTCACTGTCTTTATGGCATACACATAGTAAAATTTCTTTAGATCTATGGGTTTCAAACTGCGTCCTAAACTTCCCATGTACCTATCTATTTAAAATACTATTCACACTCAAATATGTATGTCAAAATGTAGCACACTGTAGGATATCAATGCTACTAGTTGTCACTCATTTCTTTGTGCTGTAAATATTTAAATGAATGCCTCTCATCATTTGGAAAGTATGCTAGAACCCCGTAACACAACAGTAAATGAGAAAGTGGTTAATTTATATGCAGACCGAGGAATAAATCTTTTCTTGTTATTTCTGTTTAACTGAAAAGTATGCTGAGGTTACAAGGTGAGCTGTTAGGAGACAGCAGCAGTGCCACCACCAGCAACTTCTGTTTATTTTCAGGAATTTCTCATATTAAGAAAATTTTCTTAATACTGGGCCACCAAAACAAAAAGTGGGAGCACTGAGGTTAAGATAAGAGAGTAAGGGCCTTCCAAGCTCCAGCATTTTCACTGATTAACTTCATGAGTCAATATTATAAGTGAACAATATTATAAGAAAACACTGTTTTCTAAGTTGAGGTTGCAGCATAAGATTTTATTTGAAAAAAAGGGTCTTGGCAGCTTAAAAAAATGTTTGAAAACCATACCAAAAAGGAAAAAAAAAAACACCCCAAAACCCTATAAACTGCTTATCAAATTCTCCCAAAGGCTAGTGTTCAAATAACACATAATATTTTAAAACTCTCTTCCTTGGCCGTGACGTTTTAGGATATCTTTTAAAACAAAACAAAACCAAAGAACTTAAATCCATTTTCCTATATCTTTCCTGGATTTATAGAAAAACAACCACCACCACCACCAACCACCCACCAGACAGAAAATGTTTTCTGTTATACAGCAAATCCTCTGTTAAAAACACCAGTCTGTCTGGAGTCATTTTGGGCAATTTATCTGGAAGACAAGCTAAACCCAAAGTAAGAAGCTTATATGATCAGAAAAACAAAAAGATAATGAGATTTCCAACAAAATTATCCATTTTGTGCTTAATAGGAAACAAAATATATTCAGAATATGAAAGGATACTAATTTTTTTTTTTTTGCGAGAGAGAGAATGAGAGACAGAGAGCACGAGAGGGAGGAGGGTCAGAGGGAGAAGCAGACTCCCTGTTGAGCAGGGAGCCCAATGTGGGACTCGATCCCGGGACTCCAGGATCATGACCTGAGCCGAAGGCAGTCGCTTTACCAACTGAGCCACCCAGGTGCCCGAAAGGATACTAATTTAAAAGAAATGTTTTATCATATTATTTCTGATGAATCTGTACACTTGAGAAGAGAGAATTAGTGTCCGTAGCTTGGCACTCCATTCTGGGTCTTAAAAGTAGGCTGCTAAGACAAGTCAAAGGAGTGGGGCACAATTTCAATTTATCCTGATCTTTGTGTTGTTTATTCATAAATGACATTTTCTTCTAGTTATTCGTTTGTGTAGCTAGAAGTTATAATACCATAACAGATAATCTGAAAAATGGACCTCAAGCAGGTAGTGGCACCAAGCAAGGCAGGTTCTAAACAAAATGCTTTGGGAAGTTCTCCAGCCAGAAACCAAAATAAGAAGAAACTGGCATTTTTAAATTGTCATAAAACTGATTTGGTCTGAACAGAATAAAGAATACTTAAGGTTTAAAAAAATTTTTTTTAAATTAAAATTAGAGTTATGGGGATAGGCTGCAGCTCTTTAAAAAGTGGAAAGGTAGCAGGGAAATGAACTCAATGACCTATAGAAGGAATATTTACTTTAGTGGACACTGGGAACAATTAATTTCTCTGTGAAAGAGACTGAACTACAACATTAGTTGTTTTCAGGGAAAATATGAAAGATAGTTTTTTTTTTTTAAAGATATTATTTGAGAGAGAGAGAGAGAGAGAACATGAGTGGGGGGGGAGAGAGGGAGAAGCACACTCCCCACTGAGCAGGGAGCCAGATGAGGGACTCCATCCCAGGACCCCCGGGATTGTGACTTGAACTGAAGGCAGATGTTTAACCGACTGAGCCACCCAGGAGCCCCTGAAAGATAGTTTTAAAAAAAAAAATCTTTCTAGAGTTAAATCAGGAACAGTTCTTCAAGGCTATAAGGAAGGGTGATTTTTTTTCACAGTATAACATACCAGCTTTTAAAGAAAACTGGCCAGAGTTTAAAGAAAGCATTTAAAATACAAAATGATATTCATTTATATACTTGCTTTTAATATTTAGTTTAACTGCCATCAAACTAAGTAACAATGACAGCTTGATAACTTATAAAGCAGGCAACATCTAAAAACCAGTTTTCTTGGGGTGCCTGGTGGCACAGTCGGTTAAGCATCTGACTCTTGGTTTTGGTTTAGGTCATGATCTCAGTGTCGTGAGGTCAAGCCCTGCGTTGTGCTCTGTGCTCAGCCTGGAGTCCGCTTGGAACTCTCTCTCCCTCTCCCTCTGCCCCTCCCCACTGTGCACACTCTTTCTTCCAAATAAATAAATCTTTATTTATTTAAACTTAAATATAAATAAACTTTATTTATTAAAACTACAAACAAAAAACCAGTTTTCTTTTTCAAATATATCAGTTGGAATGTTAAGAATATTTACTGCAGACTGAAGCACCATTAATACTGTAGCCACTCATAAAATAAATAGAATTTAAATTTGCTTACACAGAGATCACACAGTTCTAGGAAGGCCCTTATCTCTAATTTCTATGATGGGGAAAATATGGTAGGCCTCTCACTAGGAGTTCCATTAATACATCTATTAGAGGCAGGGAAATGCATATATGTGGATTTTGCGATTTGTGAGCCACTCTAACAAGAAACAACGGATGGGGGGTAGGTGGAGATACTGGGGGAAAGTAAAATTGAAATTGATGGCTTGAAATTTTGGGGCTACTAACTACAATTAAATCCTGTAATCAATTCCCCTTCAGAGGGAGTAGCAGGATTGGCTACTATATATTGCCAAATATATTTGACCCTTTTCTGGCTTAGTATTTTTATCTTCTTTTTTTAAAAAGATTTTATTGGGGCGCCTGGGTGGCTCAGTTGGTTAAGCGACTGCCTTCGGCTCAGGTCATGATCCTGGAGTCCC